CATGAATAAAATCAACCTTACAAAAGGATGATAAAATCTAAAACTTATACCCCGATTGAATGGCTAGCCTTCTAATTCGTCACTCCCCTCGGTTTCCCCGTCCTCGGTTTCGATTCCTGAAATGGTGGACAAGGAAAACTATGAGATAAACTCAGTAAGTAAATATGGATAGCCCTTGGGTAAAAACTTTTAAGCATGCCAGATAAACAGTTTAATATAACCAAAACGCTCAATGACAAAATCAAATTCAGTTCAATTGCAAAGCATTCATGACAAACCATTCATGCAGAATAAAACTCAGTTCAGTAGTCTCATCCATAAGTCATGGCCAGTGTTTAACACACTCCCACTGGCAGGCGTCAGTAATGGTACCAGTGTTTACAAACTCCCACTGGTAGGCGTCAATAATAGTGCCAGTGTTTACAACTCCCACTGGCAGGCGTCAACAATAGTGCCAGTGTTTACAACTCCCACTAGCAGGCGTCAGTAATAGTGCCAGTGTTTAACCCCATAGGCAGGGTGAACCGGTTCCACAGAAATACATGTCGACATGTGCTAGCGTTTACAGCTCCCACTAGCGGGCGTCAGTAATCATGACTATATCCGAGACAAAACCATGCAAGATTTACAGAAAATTCGAAGTTCACAATCACTCTCCAATTTCAGAAATAATCGAAAAATTTCCATGTGAGCATGGATTTAACAGAAAGCTCAGAATTTGCAAACTCTCAATTTATCAAAATAGTTCAGTCAATTCCAAATAGGCATGCTTTACTCAACGCAAAGAAAACAATTTCATTCCAATCATGCTCAATTCCATAAAACAATGCAATTCCCATTTTCATTCCAATCATGCTCAATTCTAGGAAAACAGTGAAATTCTCATAAAAACCATCACAACTTCCATTTCAGTTTCATCACATTCAGATGCTAATAAAATCAATTTAAAATCAATTTAAACCTTGCCACCATCTCAAAAACAGTTTAAAACATGCTTTAAAATCAGAGGGCTTTACTATAATTTACTTACCTCACTGGCATAAAACCGAGCATTCAATCTCAGTGCTAACTGACAGAACGATCGGGAACCTAATCAAAACACCTCAGAATTAATACCGGACTATCACAAATTCAAACTGAAATCATCATTAAAATCACTCCTAATCCCGATGCTATTCCTATCAATCTCCACATAACTGGACATCTCCACATTCATTCTTATATCACAAACTAATCATTTAAATCCCCGTTAATCGTTAACCCTCGGTGTGTGAACAGTGCCTATGAACAGTATCCGTGAACAGTGATCCGCAGTGAACAGTGACTGTAACTCCCAAAATTGGCCAAAACACTAGCTAGTCTCACGGGATTTTCACAATTAACCTCACAACAACCAAATTAAGCTAGTTTCTACATGAATTAAACAAAACTCATGCTTAGAGGCTGCCGAACTTCCTCTCCTATTTCAGTAGATTTTCTCGGCAACACAAGGGCAACCCTAAATGGACTAAACTTCAACAAGCATCAATCAATCAACCAATTTTCAAGGTTAGAGAGGGTAACATACCCGAATTCCAGCCAGCAGAAACTGAGCTTGGCTGGTGAGGAAGCCGACGGCATCTACAGGGGGGAAAACCCACGGGCTACCCAATCCAAAAACCAAAACACAATTTAAGGTAAACCCAAGCCTAAATCAAGAGAGAAAAGGGAGATTCAGGGCTGTTCTTACCGAAAAACGCCCAGAAATTTAAAACCCCCAAGTTGAAGCCGACGGACAGCAGAGGGAGGAAGACGCAGATCTGGGATTTTCTGGGTCAACAGGTGTTCTAAGACAAGAAAATAGGGAGAAATCCCCAAGCTTTGCTGGATTTCAGGTCGGAAAATGGGTGGTGGTAACGAGGGGAGCTCGTCTGGTGTAGAGGGTCGGGGAAGAGGAAGAGCAGGGCACGCGGGTCTGATGGGAGGAGGTAAAGAAAGGAAGAAAAAGAAAAGAAAAAGCAATTCATCCTTATCCTAATTTCCTTTCTTTTTAGCCCCTCAACTTTTTAAAATTTTGTGATTAAGCCCCAAAATAATATTTTTCCTCAAATAAGTCCCCAATTAAATGCTAAAATCCCCCAAAATTTTGGGATATTACAGAGTCTGAAAAGGGAAATGACAGAGAAACGAAACGAAACGAAGACGAAGAACACTGCCACTTTTGGGGAACTCAACTAAAACTGGAAAAAGAAAACAATTTGTTTTTTTTTTTCATGTGGGCCCCACAAAAAGTGAATCTGAAAAGTGGGGAAGCAATCTGACGTGTAAAAATGCCACAGTGTAAAAAAGTCCTTGCTGGATTTACACGTCATTAAAAATGAAAAAAGCCGGTGATTTTGTGGCATCTTAACGAGCCACCTGGCGTTTAACTGACGGAAGGACCATTTTGGTAACAAAAATGAAAGTTCAAGGATAATTTTGGTACTTTTTAAAGCTAAGGGACAATTTTGGTACCAAAGTGATAAGTTGAGGGACCAAAATGGTACTTAAACCTTTAGTAAACTTATTTATTTTGAAACCACTATAAATAAGGTGTTTTGTAAAATTTTTTATTTAGCAGTTAGGGTCTAAACAGCTAGTAGAATAGAATTTTTTAATTTTATTGAAAAATTTATCCAGTTTAATTTTTTATCACAATTTTTAATTAATATTTATTTAATTGGTTTCAAATTTATTTTGTCTTTAATTATATGAAGTGATTATTATATTTTTATTTTTACATTAATTTATCATAAAAAAATATATTAACTTAATAAATAAAATTTGCTAGTTAAACAAAAAGATTAAATTTTTTTTGTACTTTATTTAAAACTAATATAATTTTTTCTTTATAAAAAAATTAGTATATGACTTACTATTATAGTTTATTTCTTATTTATTTTTATTATTTTTATAAAATTAATAATTTTAATAATAAAAATATAAAAAGTA